CGGGGGTGGGGAGGGGGGAGAGGAGGTGGGAGGGTGGGGGAGTTAAAGGGGATTTGAAATGGAAGATAAAAGGAAAGAAAATGAACTTAGAAAGAATTTAATGGGAAAGATAAAGTGAAACAAAAGGAGTTAAAAGAAGTTAAAAAGGAAGAAAAAAGGAATTTAAAAAGAGACAAATAGGGGCAGAGAAAAGAGAAAAAGAAAACAAGAAAAGACAAAAGTGGCAAAGGGAGATAAAGAGATAAAAGGAAATAAAGAGAGACAACGGGAAACAAAACGGAGGCAAAAGAAGACAAAAAAGGGACCAAAAAAGATTAAAAAGACAAAAAAGAATCCAAAAAGTCCCAAAAAAGAATCCAAAAAGATCCAAAAAGTTCCAAAAAGATCCCAAAAGATAAAAAGGAATCCAAAAAGATCAAAAAAAGCCAAAAAAATGCCCCATTTGCTGGAAAAGACAGGCGAGCTGGAAAGAGAAAAAAGCCAAAAAGAAGACCAAAAAAAGCGGAAAGCCGCCGAAAAAAAGAAAAGAAAGAAAGGAATCCAAAGGAGACAAATAGAAAAGAAAAAAAGAAGAAAAAAGGAAGAAAAAAGGAAGAAAAAAGCTGCGAAAAAGTCCAAAAAAACAAAAAATATTCCAAAAAATAAAACTGACATGCGCTCCCAGTCCGAAGTGTCCGCCCCCGGAGGCACACAGCCGGTGCAAAGGCAAAGCATTAAGGAACTCGGCAAACGCCCAAACAGCACATTCCGCTGCTGGTAGCTGCAGCAGCAGCAGCAGCAGCAGCAGCAGCAGCAGCAGCGGCAGCAGCAGCAGCAGCGGAGGCGGCGCAGCAGCGGCTTATGCAGAAGCGGTTGGATGGGGCGGAAGGCGCGCAAGAGAAATCACAGCAAGAGGCAAACGCTGACAGCAGCAGCAGCAGCTGCTGCTGCTGCTGCTGCTGCTGCAGCAGCAGCAGCAAGAGGCAAGTGGAGAGACCCACGCAGACACGGCAGAGACGCAGAGCCAGCCAAACCCTAAACCCCAAACCCTAAACCCTAAACCCTAAACCCCAGCCCCCCACCCCGAACCCCAAACCCCAAACCCCAAACCCCAAACCCTAAACCCTAAACCCTAAACCGCAACCCTCCACTCCAACCCCGCAACCCCAAACCCCAACCATCAGCCCCCAAACCCCAAACCCCAAACCCTAAACCCTAAACCCTAAACCCTAAACCCTAGCCGGACCAGAAGTCCGTGGGGGGCGGCTCCGAGTCCACTTCGTTGATGGCTTTGATGCGAAAGCGCTCGCGGCCCTGCGAGATATCTTCCCAGGGGCTCCAGCAGCAGGGGAGTGGGGCCCCCAGCTGCAGGGAGGAGACGATCCCGCAGCTGCTGCTAGGGAGGCAGCGGGCGAGGACTGTACCTGGGGCAAATAGCAGTGGGCGAACTGCAGCGCATGCGCTTTGCTGACAATTAGCCGGGCCTCCTTCTTGCGCCACATGAGGGTGCGGTGGCCGCTGCTGCTGCTGCTGCTGCTGCTGCTGCTGCTGTTGTTGCTGCTGCTGCTGCTGCGCTGAGCCGCTCCTATCTTCTCCAGCAACCTCTCCAGGTTCTCTTGAGGCCCGAGGCACTTTGCCTGTCTGCTGCCGTTGCTGCTGCTGCTGCTGCTGTTGCTGCTGCTGCTGCTGCTGCTGCTGCTGCTGCTGCTGCTGCTGCTGCTGGCTTCTGAGGTCCCCCCCTCCTGCTGCTCGCTGTCTGGGCTGCGGAGGCGGCGGCCCCCGCCTTCCCAGCCGGCGCCGCCCCAGCGCTGCCCCGTTGCTGCTGCTGCTTCGCTGCCTGCTGCTGCTGCTGCTGCTGCTGCTGCTTCCTTCAAGTAAGTGTCCACCAGCCGCTGCCGCTCTGCAGCAGACACGGGAGTCAGCTCCAGCTCGTAAGACTCCACCCGCAGCACAACTGGCAGAAACCCGCAGGCAGCCCACGCTGGGATCGATCCCGATCCCGATCCCGATCCCGATCCCGATCCCGAGAGGCTGCTGCGCGCTAGGGCCAGAGCTTCTGCCACGCTGCACTCGGGGTCATTCCCGCTGCTGCTGCTGCTGCTGCTGCGGCCCCACTGCGGCAGCAGCTCGCTGTACACCTGCAGCAGGAGACACAGAAAGAAGCCTCCGTGTGAATCCTACGCACGGAACGGGCCTACTGCTGCTGCTGCTGCTGCTTCTGTTGCTGCTGCTGTTGCTGCTGTTGCTGCTGCTGCAGTGCAGCAGCAGAGAGAGAAGAGCAGCAGCACCTGGTACGCTGCAGCAACAACACTGGCAAGACTCGCAATCGTAAAGCCTCCGTCACTCAGGGGGATGAAGGGGGGCACTGTGAGTGCAAAGGGCCTCGGGAGGTCGCTGTAGACCTGAGCAGCAGCAGCAGCAGCAGCAGCAGCAGCAGCAGCAGCAGCAGCAGCAAGAGTTGGCTGCAGCGGCGGAGGCAGCCGCTGCCGCAGAAGCTTCGCCGCCTACAGCGCAGCACTGGCACGCGGCAGGTGCAGCAAACAGCAGCATCACGCGCCTCGGCAGCAGCCGCACAACAAAGGCAGCAGCAGCAGCAGCAGCAGCAGCAGCAGCAGCAGCAGTGACAGCAACACACCCACCTCGACAACCCGTGTGGTGGTGCCCGGAAGAGACAACGGATCTGCTGCCTCCATTTGCTTCTGCACTCGCCGGTGAGCAGCAAACTGGCGCTCTGCTAGCTGCCTCATAGGCCTGCAGCAGCAGCAGCAGCAGCAGCAGCAGCAGCAGACGCAGCAGCAGCAGATGCAGCAGCTGGCGCAGCGCGCGCACGCAGCAACCCCCACGCTCCCCAGCCACCCCAACACGTCGGGCGCCCCCTGCAACACCAGCACCAGCAGCAGCAACGGCAACAACAGCAGCAGCAGCAGCAGCAGCAGCAGCTGCTGCTGCTGCTGCTGCTGCTGCTGCTTACTTGAGCCTTTTGTCGCTGTCCCAGAGGGGGTGGCTCATGTCTTGAAGGCCAAAATGCTTCCAGCGAGACTTGGGGGGGGAGTAAAGTTCGGAGTGTACAGACACCAGAAGAAACTTGAAGATGCAGCGGCCCCTCAGCAGCCTGTCTTCGTTTCGGGGAGGCCGGGGGCCTGCTGCTGCTGCTGCTGCTGCGGGGGCGCCTGCAGCAGCAGCAGCAGCTGCTGCTGCTGCTGCAGTCTCCCGACTCCGGGCCTTCGACTGCGCGTAAGACAGCAGCTCGGTGTCTGTCTCCTCGCCCAGTCTGTCTTTCTCCGCCTCCTGCGACAAAGCTGCTGCGCCCGGCTTTGCTGCTGCTGCTGCTGCTGCTGCTGCTGCTGCTGCGGGGGCTGCAGCAGCAGCCTCCCTCTCGAACGGCGACGCGGAAGCAGCAGCAGCAGCAGGAGTGTCGTGCCGCTTCTCTCCGGCTTCAGAGTCTGAGGAGCCGTTTGCTGCCTCTCCGTTGCTGCTGCTGCTGCACTGGCTGCTGCAGCCATGCGGCGCCTTGCCGCGCGCCTGCTTCTTGCCACCAGCAGCAGCAGCAGCAGCAGCAGCAGCAGCAACGGGAGAGGCTGGCCGGCAGTCCCGGCAAAGACTCTCCGGCGGCTCCGCCGTGTCAAAGAGAAGCTCCACTACTCGATAAAGACCATCGTAGCGAAACCCAACTTCAGGTGCGTACCTGCAGCAGCAGCAGCAGCAGCAGCAGCAGCAGCAGCAGCAGCAGATGAAGGCGGGCCCCTGCCGTGTGCACAGAGCCTGCTTGCGGCAGCTAGGACACCAGCCGCCCCCACTCGCCGCTGCCGCGAAAGCTGCAGGTGCTGCTGCAGTGCCTGCCGCAGCAGCAGCAGCAGCAGCAGCAGCAGCAGCAGCAGCAAAGACTCACTCGGATCTGGCCTGGTGGCCGCGAATAACCCGCACGGGGTATTCGTGCTTCCAAGCTGTCCACAGCGCAGCATTTCTTTGGCTGGAGCCTCCGAGGGCAATTAGCTGGTCCTGCGGCGGGCGCAGCAGCAGCAAAGTGGCCCCGCTGCAGCAGCAGCAGCAGCAGCAGCTGCAGCAGCAGCAGCTGCAGCAGCAGATGCTGGAGACGCAGCTGCACAGCGAGAAGCAGACAGGCAGCCGCCCCGCCGCCGCCGCAGCCAGCCCCGCCCCGCAAATGCAGCGCAACCCCAGCAGCAGCAGCAGCAGCAGCAGCAGCAACCCTAGCAGCAGCAGCAGCAGCAGCAGCAGCAGCAGCAGCAGCAGCAGCTACCCCTGGGTAGGCAGAAGTGTCTTGGGGGTCTGGGTTCTCGCCGTGGACTATCAGCATTTTGCCTTTGTCTTCGAGCCGGCCGTCGTTCAGCAGCAAAGAAGTTGCTGTTTCTGAATAAAACAAATTAATTAAATTAATTAAATTAATTAAATTAATTAAATTAATTAAATTAAATTAATTAAATCAAATTAATTAAATTAATTAAATTTAATTAATTTAATTAAATTAATTAAATGAATAAAAGACGCTTTGGGGGGGAGCTAGTGGGGGGCGGGAAGTGCAAAGAAATAAGAAGAAACAAAAAATAAAAAATAAATAAAAATAAATAAATAAAATTAAATTAAAAGGAAATAAAAATAAAACTAAAGGGAAGTAAGAATAAAAAGAAATAAAAGAAATAAAAGATAAAAGAAACAAAAAGAAATAAAAAGAAAAGAGGAAGGAGAGATAAAGAAATAAAAATTAAAAACAAAATAAAATAAAATAAAATAAAATAAAATAAAATAAAATAAAATAAAATAAAATAAAATAAAAAGCCCACGAGTTTTGTCTTCGTCTTCGCCGATGCAAATTCTGTTGCTGCTGCAGTGGAGGCCCAAAACCCGCAGCTGCCCCAGCGTGAGGCACCTGCAGCAGCAGCAGCAGCAGCAGCAGCAGCAGCAGCAGCAGGGCGTGGGCGAGCAGCCTGAATTGCGGCGCAGCGTCTGCTGCAGATGCAGCAGCAGCAGCAGCACAAGCAGCAGAAACAGCAGCAGCACAGCGGGAACGCACGGCGACTGCAGCAGCCCACAGCTGCAACAGCAGCAGCAGCTGCAGCTGCAGCAGCAGCAAAACGAGTTGAGACAGAAATAACCAGAAAAAAACCACAACAGAAGCAGCAGCAGCAGCAGCAGCGCCTGCAGCAGCCACAGCAGCACCAGCAGCAGCCCGAGCAGCATCACCGCCAGCCACAGCAGCCACCCCCGCATCAGCCACATCAGCAGCAGCAGCAGCAGCAGCAGCAGCAGCAGCAGCAGCAGCAGCAGCAAACCTGAATCCTGGGGGCACCTTGAGGGGGCCAGTGCCCAAGACGTTTTTGGGAATTCTTTCTTCGCCAGTGAGATGCGCCAATTTCCAAAGAGGAGTTCCGCTGCTGTTCTTGTCTCTAGTCAGCAAAGAGCTGCTGCAGCAGCAGCAGCAGCAGCAGCAGCAGCAGCAGCAGCAGCAGCAGCAGCGCGGCGAAGCGCGGCAAAAAGGAAATGAAGCAGCAGCAAAGACTGAAACTAATAAGGAGACGCAAGAGGCAGCAAAAGAAGCAGCAAAATAAAATAAAATAAAATAAAATAAAATAAAATAAAATAAAATAAAATAAAATAAAATAAAATGAAATAATAAAAGTTTGTCTCACGTGGAAAGAAGGTGGAAGTACTTGAGAGAAAGAAAAGCAGCTTTTTGGTCCAAAGAAAGAAAGTCAAAGTCCTTCCTGGGATCGGATCCCAGGACAGCTTTGACGTTGACTGGCTGCAGCTGCGTGTGGGGTTTTCTTTTGAGAGTCTTGAGGCCCTGCTGCTGCTGCTGCTGCTGCTGCTGCTGCAGCAGCAGCTCCCGGTGCTGCTGCATGCGCTGCAGCAGCACGCCCTCCTCCGCCTCAGAGTCCCAGTCCGACAGCTCCACGCACACGTCGTCTTCGCCTTCCCCCGCTGCTGCTGCTGCTGCTGCTGCTGCTGCTGCCGCTGCTGCTGCTGCTGCTGCTGCTGCTGCTGCTGCTGCTGCTGGGGCGGTCAGCGCGCCCGGCTTCCCGCTGCACTCGCTCGGCCCGCAGCGCCTCTGCGCAGCAGCTGACGGACCACTGGACACTTTTGCTGCTGCTCCCGGCGCTGCTGCTGCTGCAGCAGGTGCAGCAGCAGCAGCAGCAGGCCCTGCTGCTGCTGCAGCTCCCGGCAGCCCCAACATCGCCGCGCGCGTCTCCCAGCAGTGCTGCAGCCAGATGCAGCTGCTGCTGCATGTCGTTCCCCGAGGGGATCGCTGGACCCCTAACCCTAAACCCTAAACCCTAAACCCTAAACCCTAAACCCTAAACCCTAAACCCTAAGTCATGAAGCAGCAGCAAACTGTCACTCGAACACCCCCTCAACCTCCCTCCGAAGGAAATGGGAGGGGCCCTGCAGCCCTGGTGTTGAGAAGAAGGGAGTGACCCCCCAGAAGGTGGTGAAGCTGCTGCTGCTGCTGCTGCTGCTGCAGCTGCTGCAGCTGCTGCAGCAATCTTCGCTGCTGCAGTCGTTAGTGACGCCCTAAAACTTAAACACAACACTTAAAGGGGGAAACCCCTGCAGCAACTTCGGTGCAGCAAGCAGCAGCAGGCCGTGGTCCACCGCCGGGGGCACCAGCAGCAGCAGCAACACCAGCCCCGCATGCAGCAGCAGCAGCGGCAGCTGCTGCTGCTGCAGCGGCTGCATGTGGCAGCCGCAGCAGCAGCAGCGCAGCTTGCTGCAGCAAATGCACATATTTACGTCCTGCTTCGTACTCTGAAAGCGCCTCTGCTTCGCAAGCAGCAAAGGGGTGATCGGCTGGACCTGCTGCAGCAGCAGCTACTGCAGCAGCAGCAGCAGCAGCAGCAGCAGACGAGGCAAGACAACAGCAACAGCAGCGTCTTTTTTTGTCAATGGTATCCCGCCGAGCTGGCCTGGCTGGAGGGTTTCCCCCCGTAGCGGCAGCCGCAGCAACAGCAGCAGCAGCAGGCCCAGCAGCCCAGCTGCAGCAAAATGCAGCAGCAGCAGCAGCAACACCAGCTGCTCTCAGGGCCTCCACCGCAAACCCTAGGACCCAGGGGGCCCCCAGGGGGCCCCGAGCTGCAGCACCCCATGGGAGACCCTCACCGGGGGGCCCTCGCGCCCCCCAGTGATATCTTGGGAATATATCGGCAGCAGCAGCAGCAGCAGCAGCAGCAGCAGCAGCAGCAGCAGCAGGTGCACTTGTCTCACTCGCATCTTCTCCAGGGCGCGCCTTTTGCTGCTGCGCCCATCCAGCCCGCAGTGTGGCACGCGCTCGCGCCGCAGCAGCCTGCAGCAGCAGCAGCAACTGCTGCTGCTGCTGCTGCTGCTGCTGCTGCAGCAAGCAGCACTGTGGGGCCCCCCGCCTACAGAATCCCAGGAGACCCCGCCCCCTACCAGAGGGGCCCCAGGGGCCCCCAGGGGCCCCCAGGGGAACTTCGCAGCTACATCTCTGGCACTGTGGGTCTGGGGGCCCCCGAGGGGGCCCCCAGGGGGGCCTCCAAGGGTCTCACGCAGCAGCAGCAGCAGCAGTCGCAGCAGCAGCAGCAGCAGCAGCAGCGCCAGTGGCAAGATGCTAGCAGCAGCACCGTTCCGTTCTCACTTGGCGGCGAGCTGCAGAACTCTGCTGCTGCGCCCGCTGCTGCTGCCGCTGCTGCTGCCGCAGCCGCTGTGCAGCAACACTACCAGCAGCAGTACATGCATGCAGTGCAGCAGCAGCAGCAGCAGCAGCAGCAGC